TGCTAAATTAGGGACGGCTAGCGCAGATAGCCCTCGTGTAGCTTTGCGCGAAATCCATAACAAACAAACAAAGTTTGAATACGTCAGAAATTTGTTTTTTTTTAAACTACCGTAAAGTTTTATCACTTCATGAACACAGTATAATGAATAGTAATTGATTTTTTATTCTACTTCTTTTGTATGATTTTGTATGCATTTCATTACATTTTAACAAGTTAAATTTTTTATAGTTTTTATTGGGTTTAACCTATATGCCAACCACTATTTCTCCAAACAACTGGACGATCGTATTTGTAAAAGTGTTAGATACATATTTGATATAACTATGGACTTATTAAAAGATTCCATGCTGGCTCATCGCTAGAATTGGAGGACCGATGCCTACGGCTGACACTGCGCACATAGCCAACCAAAAAAATAAACACTTGGTGTAAAATTTTCTCCCTTTGCTTTACTTGCCATAATACAGAAATATACCCGACGTTAACCCATCTGTATTTATTTTTTTACACTTATAAACCTTTTAGAATAATTGTTATGTAAGAAATAAGTATTTATGTTATAAGTTATTATTTGATATTCTTATAAACCGCATCTCTTAATGTTTGAATTATTAATCACCGTAAGTTTTTAAACCTTCGGTAGTTAGGGTAATGTTGTAAAAATGTAAATTAGTCATGATTCTCTGTTCTGTAGTAGGTCAGCATTTTAACTAACCTTGACCTGTCTGTGCAAAGGGCATGGGAAATATTACTGTACGAGTACGTCCTCGTTTGATTTGTAAGCTGCTGACAGGTCGCGAGTGGTTGGGGTCTACAGACCGGAAATTTTAAAACGGCTCAAACGGAAGTCATCTATTATAACATTTACGAGTTTTATCAGGCTACAATATGACATTGAAACTGGAACAACACGATTATGGTAAGATAAACTGTAGATGGAGCTTCACACGACCGTCATCCAACTAGAGCCAACATAAAATATTAAAACATTACGTTATTTGAAAGTAAAGCTGCAAGTGACCATTAAATATCCGACATTGAAACTGGAACAACATGATAATGATTATATCGTAGATGAAGCTTCAAACGATCATCAGCGACTAGGCCAATTAATTAATGTGTTACGAGAGCCGTACAGTGAATAACCAGCGTTGAAAAATTACACGCATAACTATTATAAGCTATATTTTTAATGTTGTAGCTAGACAGCACATAACGTTGAGATCAAACAAGTTCTACAATATCTTGAATATTAATGGTCGAGAGACTTCGCGAAGTGTCTAGAAACTAGGCTACAGATATAAATACGAGTAGACAGTTCAGGAGTGGTGAATAATAAACGAGTATTAAGTCAGAGAGTTCAATTCAGTGAAGTATTAAGCTTTAGCGAAATTCTCGAATCAGTGCTAGCGATCGCGTATATTTTGTTATTCGATCGATTAGTTGTAATATTATACAAGTAAGTTTATTATTACGTTAGTCCAAGTACCATCAGCGGGGTATTTCTGTTTGAGCATCATTTGTAAACTTAAGCCTAAAAATACAAGTTACAACAGTGTACAAGCTGGTAGAAACGTTAAAGAAAAAATAAACAATTTGTTGTTACGTGGACTAGATTTCAAATTATTTTCACAAAGTAATTTAAAATAAACCGCCCAATAAAAGAACGACGTTTCAACATAACAAATGTTTATGACATATATAGAAACTAATAATGTTCGTGTATTAAATACTTTTATAATAGATAGCTGTAAGCGTTCTTGTGACGTAATGGATAATACACGCGGTTTATGTAGTGCGGAATGATTAATTCACAATATTTTTGCAGTGGTTTTGCAGTTGCTTTTGTAAAGTAGCGGGTGAATACACGAATTAATGAGAAAGTGCATAACGTGTTTAATTTACTGTACTTGTGTCATGATTAGCTATCA